TTAATTAATTAATGATATTGATATTAGCACGAGTTGATAGATGTTATTATATGCTGGCATGTTATATCGTCCTATTCTAGCTTCAGTTTACTATAATTCTCCACAGATGAATACAAATTACATTGTAAAACGCTCATAAGCTTGAAAATATCATTTAATAACATTTTCCTATTCGCTATGAGATATGTATTACATATAAATAATAAAAATAATGTTCAACGTATACTATCCATATGCATGTATGTATAGTGTGCAGTAGGATGGTGCCACACATGCCGCCATGTTTGGCGCGCGCACATCTCGCGCTGCGCATGTCCTTTCTAGTTGTCTGTTATCTTTCACTCTGAGTTATGTTTATACTGGCGTGTTACAGGCGCCACCGTCGTTGTAATCAAACTGTAGTCGTTAATTTTAAAACATAAAAAAAATATTTCTAATGGTGATTGAACCATGAAAGTTTTTATGTAGCGTAATTATAACCTAAATTAGTTGAAAATAACCCTAGAACCTAGAGTAAACTTTCCCTTTAAACGGCCACCCTGTGGCGACCTCTATCATGCTTGCTACCGTTTCTAGTGACAGTTTTTAATATGTCAACAATGTGATAAACTGATAACAGAATCTGATAAGGGACGAGCCTTAGCAAAAGTGTAATTTTATTCACAGAGGTGAATTTTCTTTGGTATTTTATTGGCGTTACACAAGGTGAGACTAATAGGCGAAAGAAAGTAGAAAAAATGCATTTTGGTAGTAAATTTCAGTAATTTTGGTAGTACTATAGTATAGACTATAGAGCTATGAGTTAGCCCGACCAGGCTGTGCGACGGATTGTCGGTTCAAGGATAGAGAACATGTATCCCAATAAAACCGGATTGTCTATACGGTATCCTAACCCTAGCGATACCGTTTCTTGGAGCTAAGCTATGAGTATGATAGTACTAGAGCTATGAGTATGAGTAATGGCAACTGAACACGAAATGTATTTAGTGTACTAGTAGTAGTACTACCAAAATTACTGAAATTTACTACCAAAATGCATTTTTTCTACTTTCTTTCGCCTATTATATACTATTACTAATGTAAAATAAATTACAACAACAAGAGTAATAATGACAAATAATAATTATTGTTGAGTTGTATTTTATTTGTATGATTCATAATGTTAGAATTGCAAATTAATTACATGTTTACGTACCGGGTATATGCATGCACACTCATTTCTCAGATGCGTGCTATGATTCAGTTTCAAAGCAGAAGGCGACCTCAGAAGTGGCGACCTCAGAAGTGGCGACCCAGAAGTGGCGACCCAGTGTTTCAAAGCAGAAGTGGTACAGTGACAGCGATTATACATCACTGCTATGGCTGATTCTGTGGAGCTTTCTACCCCTGCCAAGCAAGGATTTTTCAGCAAGGTCACCAATTTCATTTCATGGGTGTACATGCAGTATCTGCTGATGACCACACTGTATGTGTTAGAACCATGGGAACAGGCCATGTTCAATTTTGTGGTTGTATCCATCTTAATTCTGGCATCATACACTACATATCTATTCTTGCCAGTATACACAAGGACCGTTCTGGCATTCTTTTCTTCAAACATCAGTTATGGTGACTTGATAGATACCACAGAATAGAGAAAAAGTGGTTGAAAAAAGACTCTGGTGTTTCCATGGTGATGTCTTCCTCGTGTAAGATTCTGCAAAGCTTGATCAGCCACAGAGACGTCTTCATATACAATGTGATGTGCAGCGAATATGATGCCATCCTAGCATTTCAACCCGGTGTGCTGTCCCTAGACAAGATACAAAGTATATACAAGAAGACATTTCTCAGCAAATCTGTGCTGAACACTATTTGAGTTGTCCCTTCAGGTGTTAAGCCTGACCTGTGTGCTGCGAGGAGAGCATGTGTGAACCCTGCATCATCTGAAGGGAGTTTTAACCCTGCCTTATTATGCTTGACATTATTGCTTGTTGTAGTAAGACATGGCGATTCACTTTCATGTTAGCCTCTGGATCCACACAACTGGTGATTAGTTATGTCACGAATCCTGATAAGAAGACATTAATTAGACTTGCTTACAAGGCCAATTACTTCTGCAGTCAATGATTACTTGCTCATAAACCATCACTCGATGCAGTATTATATTACAATCAAACAATTGTTATATTCATGTGGACCGTAATGTCCCTAATCTAACGCTTTGCAATAAAAGGTAATGTAATACATGTAAATTTTTCCATGTCTCAATGACTTTATGTATTGTAAAATAAAAGTTTTAAAAGTATTGAACAAAATTGGTAATAAATTCACCAGTATACTCACAAACGTCTAACAGTGTATAATGCCTGTGAAATTGCACATTCACTTCAACTTTATTGTGTGTGCGCAAGCATGTGTGCATGCCACCACAACTAAAACCAGACTTCCCTAGAACATTCAAACAACACTTTATCACTGCTACAACCAATTCACATCAAAGTAGATAATGTTGAATTTTCTTCGTTACTATTCCATTGTTATGTTGAACATGTATATAACGTTTAAATATAGATGTTGTGTAAACATGGTACAAATCCTGTACACGCCCCTGCCGAGCAAATTGCCAACATTGAAAAACGAACCCCCCCCCCCAATATAAAGCTGGCTACGGGCCTGTATATACATATACATATATTATGTATCGAAGTCGAATCGTAGTAAGGACTGAACAGAATATACATTACTGGTCGGTCTATTTTTGCGTGATTGTCAATTTTTGCCACTAGATGGCGGTAGTAGATGTATACAATGATGTGTAGATGTGATGTGTGATGTGTACAATGTCTGTGGCTGTGCCGTTTTCCATCAACTTGAAGTCTGAGAATATTGAGTCAATCTCAATACACAATGTATACATTTTCAGTGACAGTGTACATGCTTATTGTTCACGGTACCAAGGAGCTGTATGTATACATATTATATACGTAGCTTCTCTGCTTCCCAGAAGTACCGGTACTAAGTTTGTATCGAAAGTTGTTAGTTACTTGCATGGCATGTATTTTGAAACTCACTTTCCCCCACCCTAACATAAGCGCCAACCCTGCGCCAGCCCACCATCTGGCGAGTACTACTAGTACTTACTATAGCTCAGTCAGCGCACCCTCTCACGGCCCTTAGTGCGCACAAATATGGCCGCCAAATCCGTTTACAGGGCATGACAACAAGCTCTCAAACTTCGGCAAGCAGTTTGTACGGCTTATGGCACCGTCACTATCAATTATTAGAGGGGGTGCCCAATGCAGATATTCCTTAGAAGTGAATTACAGATGATTAATCAGATTAAATGTTCGAACCACCCCACTCCGAACCCCCCTACCGCACCCGCCTGTATACAATGTCAATACATGTACCAGCTGTACAATGCGCCAGTACTGGTACTATGGCCAGTACACACAGTACAGGCGGGCGCGGTAGGGGGGTTCGGAGTCGGGTGGTTCGAACATTTAATCATCTGTATAATTCTCTTCCGCGCGCATATATTTGCTAATATATTGACTAATCGTGCGTCAATAAACTCAATATTCACAGAGAGTATAGCTAAGACATGTGTATATAGGTATCTAGAATTTTAGAAATGTAACTCAAATCCTTCGCGAGATATTAGAGTTAGCACGCTATCCTACGGGCCATAGCCGCGCGTATATATTACAGAGTGGCTATATGCCTGGCAGCCGGCATATATCTGACGGCTGCCGGGTACAGTCTTCGATTTCCTAAATGCCCGGCAGTTTTTAATTTTCAGCGTTGTCTCAAGTAAACAAGGGTTAGGGTTAGGGGTTAGGAACTGCTGGGCATTTAGAAAATCGAACTTATCGAAGACCGTGCCCGGCTGCCGGGCATATAGCCACAGCGTATATATTAGCCTATGAGCAATACTGTGCGTATATTTTTGGTAATTAATTAAACTATTCGTGCTTTAATAAACTCAAAATTCCCAGAGATCATAGCTAAGACATGTGTTTATATGTATTTAGAATTTTAGAAAATGTAACTCAAATCGTTCGCGAGATATTAGAATTTAGAGTTAGTACACTATCCCTACGGCCATCCTACGGGCCATAGCCGCGCATATATATTATCCTATGACGATACTGTGCGTATATTTTTGGTAATTAATTCAACTATTTGTGATTCAATAAACTCAAAGTTCACGGGGAGTATAGCTAAGACATATGTTTATTATTATATGTATCTAGATTTCTAGAAATGTAGCTCAATTCGTTCGCAAGATATGAGAGTACACTTTCATGCCGCCTATAGCGCAATAGCGTATGCGCGGGGGGGGGTTAACAGCTGTATACAATGCGCCAGTACAGGCGGGCGCGGTTCGAACATTTAATTATCTGTAATTCACTTCTAAGGAATATCTACATGGACACCCGCCTCTAATATTTATAGTAT